CGTGTTCGAAAGTGTCAGTTCCCGTAAAAATATTTCAGTTCCAAGAGATGGAAATGAAAATCGTTTTCTAGGCACTTTTCGAGGTCACAGCAAACGGCCTAGTAAGAAAATAACAAAATTTTTAATTTATTCCCTTTGCCAGGCAATTTTCTTTTTTAGGTGGCTTTTGTTAGCATGTGTTGTTCACTTGTCAAGGTTGCAGCCGAGACCGGTCTAAAATTTATTTGTTTTTACATTCATCCCAGTCTGAATCCATGCCGATCTGAAGTCAGTTGGCTCTGTCCAGCAGGCGGAATGACTTGAAACCAGTCTGAGTTATTTTTGTCCGCCCGGTCTCATATAAACATATATTATAAATATTATGACCGAAACCGGGAATGGTCCCGGGTTGGCTTCGTTGCGGTCTCGTGTAGGAGCTGGAGGGTGAGTCGTCATATAGTAAGGTACGAGACTAACCATCCAGCTATTTAAAAACAACGCTGGCACTCAAGGGAAATTCAGATTGAACCTCTAGTCTTTGAGTGTGAGCGTGACTGAGGTTTTAGAATACAGGCGTTAGTGTTGAAAACAAAAAAGTCTTACCCCAGTAATTAACTGATTCTTTAAACTTTGATATTTGTGACTGCTTGGATCTCTTAGTTCGCTCGAATACGTTTGATCAGGAAGTCGTAGTGTGAATGGATAACTGTAAACTGAATAGAATTTGAAATATGTCGAATATGAACAACGAGAACACTACACGTGATAATTGTCGTGATAGAATTTGAAATATGTCGAATATGAACAACGGGAACACTACACGTGATAATTGTCGTGATAGAATTTGAAATATGTCGAATATGAACAACGGGAACACTACACGTGATAATTGTCGTGATAGAATTTGAAATATGTCGAATATGAACAACGGGAACACTACACGTGATAATTGTCGTGATAGAATTTGAAATATGTCGAATATGAACAACGGGAACACTACACGTGATAATTGTCGTGATAGAATTTGAAATATGTCGAATATGAACAACGGGAACACTACACGTGATAATTGTCGTGATAGAATTTGAAATATGTCGAATATGAACAACGGGAACACTACACGTGATAATTGTCGTGATAGAATTTGAAATATGTCGAATATGAACAACGGGAACACTACACGTGATAATTGTCGTGATAGAATTTGAAATATGTCGAATATGAACAACGGGAACACTACACGTGATAATTGTCGTGATAGAATTTGAAATATGTCGAATATGAACAACGGGAACACTACACGTGATAATTGTCGTGATAGAATTTGAAATATGTCGAATATGAACAACGGAAACACTACACGTGATAATTGTCGTGATAGAATCTTTCATATTCCCATTGGCATATAATTGTGACTAGTTACATCAGCTTAAACTTACGTTTTGGGGGATTAGTGAGATCAATCTTACAACATTTCTGGGAATAAATTATATGCCTTTTATTTGGTTCCTCTTCGTTCACGGATGGGTGGTTTTTCTCCTGTACCTGTTCATTTGCATTCCCCAAAGATCTCACTTTCACAACTAAACCACGCTTGCTTGCTAAACTAGAAAGTGAATTCAAAAATCAATTAATACAAAAGGGACTTTGGTTGAAGAATTGTCCAAAAGTATTTTGATCAGGGCATTTTTTACCTATATAACTACTGGGTATTTACCCCAGTAGGCCCTTTGCTTGCCCCAGTAGTGAAGCAAGATTTTCAGATTAACTGGGCCCTTTTGGTCATTAGCAAAAAGGCCATCAGGTTGAAAAAACCGTAACGTTACGTCAACCCAAAAAGAAAATGAAAAGTATAATCACAGAGGTCTCCTTCTGTGAAGAAAAAGTAAGGTAGTAACACCCCCAATAATTCAAACGCTGGTCATTGTTGGTCAAAATGGAACTGATATTTGCCCAAATTTGTTCAAAATGGAACTGATATTTGCTTAAAACTGAAGGTAAAACTCGTGAAAAATTTGGTGAAAGTTTTGGAAATAAGATGGTCGAAGTTGTTAAAAGTTATGAAATGGTTCGCACTTTTAACAACTTTAAAGCTTCAGTTACGTTTGCGGTGAAAAAGTCGGAAGCATTGCTTATATTGGTTGAAAAATTTTGAATATGCTTATAATAGTCCGGAAAATTTTTTTTCACTATCAATTTAGTCTGGAAAATATTTTTGACTTCCCCCCTCGACAACATTTCCGGGCAAAATTTTTACGACTTGGTCAAAATCCTAGGAAAAGTTGGTCAAAACATGACGACCCCCCCCCCCCCCCCCCCCAATGTTGATGGCTTCGCGACCTCCCTGGCCAGGCGGATCGCCACTTTATTGTACTTTCCACGTTAGAACATGAGCCGTACGTCAGTAATAGACCAGATAACAGTATAAAATGTTATCTCTTGATTACTTACATGTTCTTTGACATAACTCGTCGCGCGCCTGCAGAATCGCATTGACAGACGATTTTTGCTTTTCCAAAGTAATCCATTCCAATAACGACGTTTTCAGAAAGACGGTCTCTTTTTTGACGATCGCTGAATACCTTGTCTTTACATTGAATATTCCATTCATCTCCCACGACAAAACAAACTGAAATGTTCATTCAAAGAAAACTCAGAGCATGCTTTGTTCATGCTTTTCTTCATGCTTTTCTTCTTGCTTAGGAAATAAATTCGGGGGAAACCAACATAGTGACTAACGACTGCATGAGAGCCACATGCAGGATATTCAATCAAATGAATATCGTTGGTGACGTAAACGTATACTGCGATCGTCAACTAGATGCGCGCACACCATGAGCAAGGAAGCGTTCTTTGCAATGTAGCACAGTCGCCTGCTAGCACAGTCGAATTACTTCGCGATGGAAAAGCTCGCGCTTTTTAAGCAAGCTAACCAAGCTTTTTAACCGGCTTAGCTCCCCCCTCTGAAAACTGTGACAGTTACTAAACCTCCCGCAGTTAACGTTCAAACTAACTTAATTAAGGAATATTTCATTGAATCATTCACCTTCATACCTCTTAGGGAACAATCAAGAATCTTCATATTATTATTTTAAGGGTTGGAGCATAGCCCCCCCCCCCCCCCAAACACTTTTACTTCTGCGGGGATGGAGCTAGAGCAATGAGGGGGCATTCAGAAGGCCCTGTACTCTAAAACTCAAGAATAGATGGAATAAAAAAAATGATCGCCAGAGGACTTTGAGAATGCAAACTGTACGTTGACGTATGGTAAGAGAAAATGGCTGTGGCTGCTGAAGTCCATTACCATTAGCTCTAGACAACAAATCAACAAAGGCACAACATTGTAGCCATATGTCGTGGCTTGCAGGACGAACTTCTGGAGGAAGCATGGCCAAACTTAGTTTAGTTATATAATACACTTATATCGATTGTCAGCCTTTCTTGCCAAATATGTCTTATACTAGCTTCGTATATATACTAGAAACAAACAGTCTGACTATACCGTTCAATAATATGGCATAATATTAACAACGAACCCTGTTGTGAATTACAAAACCGAGCAATACGTATAATCCTAATCCAATGAAGAACTAAATGTACGCAAGAAATGCAGTGATACTAAATATATTATTGTTCTGTAATAAAAGGCGCTTTCATAAAATTAAAATTATGCCACGATGCTTGCAGTCACATCTGTTTTTCTTCCAACAAAACACTCTACGCTGTTTTTTTCTTTAACCAATAAACTAATATTCTCATATCCTTTTACTGAAACATAATGGTCGTTGATGGAATTTTCCACTCTTTTTCAATCGTGTAAAAACATGCAGCCGAGCGAAATTAGACCCCTCGCTACGCGCATTTTTGGAGGCTAGGCTGTTGAACTTATTTTAATAGTTAAACTTATATTAACAACAAAACTGATTTTACGGTGTGAACTAAAGATGTTATTGTCATTGTTATTACGAGTCGAAATGTCGCGGTTTCCTATCTCTACGTTCCTGATATACTTGTATATTCTACCAAATTTTATCAACGGATTTGGAGGGGCAAGACGGAAATATATAATAGATTCTATTCCTTAAAATAAGACAGATGTGCAAGCTAAAGACACCGCAAATTTATTAGTTATTAATTTGTTATTAATTCCATTTAGCAAAAGGAAGTCCTCTAAACCAGATTTCAATTCCAGACCAATAGACAATATTTGAAATTGTTTACGTTCTAAAATCATGCACTTACTTGTCAAAATGAAGGCTAGAGAAAATCTTTCCATGTTATCAAATAATTTAAATCAAAGCAAATTTTACAACAAGAAAAAATTCGCTCCGATTTCCATACAAGACAGTCTTTTCTACGCCTGAATAAATCTTTAACAAAGTTTGAGCAGGCCACAAAACGACATTTGTCAACTAAACAAGATATGTCAGAATTAAGCCGGTTACAGACGAGCAAGTTTTCAATGCCAGCTTTTATATATGGCAGGTTTTATTTGCCAAGTCCACGTGTGTATGTGCAACAAATTGTCTATGACAAGTTTTCGGTTTTCTGACAGCCACGATGGCTACTAGTATTACACATTATGACAATAGACCGCTGACCAACTGCATGCAAGTACTCAGATTACGTTGACAAGTTTTCTTTGTTGACCCATAACAGACGAGCAAAATTTGTACTTTGATAATTTTTACTGTGACAAGTGCACTTGATCAAAAGCTAACATGCTAATTTTGAACAAGTGCGTAATTGAAAAAATTGCCAAAGTTGCGCGTACAGACGAGCAAATAAAATTTGTCACATAAAAACTTGTCATGGAAAACTTGCTCGTCTGTAACCGGTTCCTGTCAAGACCTGTCAAGATATCATGGTCTGAAAGCCCGGGAAACTTCAAAAGCACAAATTAGGCATCGCGTATCTAGACGCGTACCAAGCTGCATGCACCTTACCCTGCACAAGTCCTTTGTCTCCTTGTGAGTTATCATAACAATATTATTTTGAGTTGTCATTGAAAGAATCTCACATTTTCTTGAGGTATTCATTTACATCAAGTATTACATTATCTGACTAAAGAAACGTAGGTGATACTTGCCAAAATTGTTGTTGAGGGGGCGGGGGGGATAGATGGTGATTACCAAAACAAATTCGGAATGCATTATAATTTATTTTTCTTCCATTATCGACCAAATGATACAATATTTCCCCAACAAACTGGGGGGGGGGGGTGGC